AAGCATGTATGTGTAAGAGAAGCAGCCTCGCAATACGAGGTAGTGCGAGGCCGGATGTTGACGACTAACTTCAGCTGTATAAAAAGCTGTGCTGTGAAGATGGCATTTAACCAGTTGCAGCTTTCTTCAATCTGAAGGGGTCAACGAGGGGAGGAGCTTCAGATATTAAGGAGAAAGAGCATGCAAGATGCACATACTTTAGAAGAATGGGAGGAGAGAAACTTCAGTAGCTTGTCAAAAGGTGGTCTAAAACTGATGGGGAGAGACAGTATTTGTAGAGGAAAGTACAGTTTCGGGCTTACTGTTTTTAACATTGACATGGTTGTGTATGGATTTACCGTAGAGGCTTATACACATTATTACTTACAGAATTTCTGCCCTTGTAGCAGCCATGGCAACGAGCTTTTGCTCTGCCCAGCTGTTTCTTGTGCTAGTGCAGGAGAACTCACCGTATGATCTTTAATCAAGACGGTCTCACTGTCTACCTATGCATCTGTTGATGGAGGTGCAGTGGAGTTGACCATGTCCTGTCCCACTGGTGGGAGGGAGAGGCAAGGCTACATTTTTTTTCAATAGTCCTAAACGCCACCGCCTCTGTTTTCTGTTAAGAGATCTTAAGTCTGTTGGGATTGGTACCATACTTCCTGGTGCTTCATGCAGTTTTGGGAACTGCCAGCAGCACAGGGCAGGGCTCTGAGTGCTCTGCACACATCCCGAGTGCTGGTAGCAGTATGGTTCACGTGAACGTCAGGTTTGGGCTGCCTCATGCGATGCTGGTACTGGTTGGCATTGGGTTCATCAGACTTTGGACTGTCAGCAAAGAGAGAAAGATTCTGTTACGTCGAGAGGCTACTTTAGCCTCAAGGAGTAGGCGTTACTTCTGTTGTTAAGATCTTCTAGTGATTATTATGCAGGATTTTGTTTGTTTGGTTTTTTTAACATATTGTAAAAGTAGCTTGCCTTTAGCTGTTGGAACAAACCAGTATTCTCTTCAGGTTTTGTTGCAGGTTGATCGAGAGCTCTGTGGAGCTTCCTTCTGGCTGAGGCTGAAATCCTTAGCTATAGTTGCTGGGTACCACTGACGCAGATACCATGCTATCCGCTTGGCTGATGTTACCAAAGAGGGAATATTACGATTATTACCTTGTCAGGATTTTGTCAGGTGCTTGCCTTCTGTCATCCTGCAACAAAGGAACACCTCTGTTAGTGGTGTCCTTGTAATGCCAAGGAGATCTTTGAGGCTCATGATCATATGCATGTCAGTAATGCTGTCAAGAAGGTGTGTTCCTCACCGTTTCAGCTGTATTCCTACAAGTTACTTGGTATTATGATATGGTCCAGAACAAGCCCCTTAGGTGGGCTGGCCTTCACTTACCTTTTATATTTATTTATTTATTTGTTTATTTTAAAGCAACACCAGGAAAGATTCTCTGACTTTTCCGTAGACTTAGCCCTCTGCTCGGGTGTCGTTATAAGCAGCAGTGAGATATGGTGGACACAGCTTTGTGAGCAGTGAATGCTACCTTGCTGATGCTATAGCCCCAGTCCTCAAATATTAAGAAGATAAGGTCCTTAGGGAGGACCTGCATTTCAGTGAAACAGTACTGATCAGCTGAAAGATCGAGGTCTTCCATCTTGTAAAGGGTTCTGTGCTGTTAAGGCTTTCTCTATTATTGATGTGGATCAAGTGGGCTAAAAAGGGAAGTGAGGGGTGCAGCAAAATGAAGAGGAGAGAAGGGTTCATTCTGCTTTCTAATAGAAAGCAGAATAGAAAGTTTAAAGTCATACTTGTGCGTGTGTGTTCTAGCTTGTTCAGTGGCATACTGCTCTACCAGGTGATCTGTAGCGTGAAACCGAGAATGCAGCTGCTCTTAACTTCAGATGGCTGAGTAGAAATGGCAAAATGAGCATGATGGCTGCAAACCTGTGATAAACCTAAATGATTGCTTTATCCGACGTGGTGTGTATAGAATGTAGTTCATTAACTACTACAGTATAGTTAGTGAATGTCTGTACAGCTGACAAAGAGTTAGTGCTGGTAACTTCAGTCTGAAAGATGCGCTTTCTTAAGTGCTACAATCAGTTAGTCCTCCTGCGTCATTTTCCGTCTTGCAGAAAGGTAGTTTAGGTTGGACATCCCAGTGGTCTTTTGCCTCAAAAAAGAACTGAATGGAAGTTGGGTGTTCCTTTGTATGGAAACCGAAAGCCTGAAGCTGTAAAAAGAAAATGCATTAAAGTAAGGTATATGCATTTTGTTATTTGTAATGACTTAGAATTTTAAGGCTAATTTAATGATGAAACAATGACTGTTACTAAAAGTGTCTTTGAAAGGCATTTAAGGTTGTCCATATCTGGTGATCCAAGGTAAAGGTCAGGTTTATTCAGATACCTAATAGCTGCCTGACAAGTGTGTACAGTGAGCGATTACTTGGCTTCTACTCAGCAGTAAGAATTGAATGTTGCCTCTTGGAAATTTAAAAAAAAAAAAAAAAACAACAACAACCCAGTATAAAGCTCAGAGCCTTGTCCTCACGAGAGCGTCAAAACTTAGACATTAGGGTCTGATCTTGTAAGTTTAATAAGCTTCCCTTGAAGGGTACAGTGTATCGAGTTGTACTGTCTAACATTTAGTTTGGAAATAGGTTTGTATACTCCTAATTATGGTAGAAGGACATGCCTGATAAGTTACATCTGAGTTTCTATTGCCAGCCTAATAGTTTAGCCATTATGGGAAGGGAGGTGGGAAGGTTCCTTTTTGCAAGAAGTCTGAAGAGAATATGGAAGAACTATTAATCTGGAAAAATATTGGTTGGCTGTCTTAGAGATGAACGTTTAAATTTCCTTTGTAATTAGCAGAGTCCATGGTGCAGTTCACCAGACCTGTTTGAAGTGCCTTGGATGCAGCCATCTACACATGTATACTGTGGCTAGGTGAGATGAATGCCACGCATGGTTTCTGGTTTATTTTATTATTATTTTTAGCATTGGAACAGCTTTTTCATTCCTGACAACTGATAGCAAGCACATAGAATTAAAATTGTTTGCTCCATTAAAAAGGAAATGCTAGGAAAACTGTGGTACTCCATATCTTTCTGCCAACAAAGGTAGCAAGCAGAGATAACTGGACTCTGTACTAAAACGACTGAAATGTTTCTTCTGCCAATCCTTCGCTGAGGTTCCTGACTTAAAAATGTTTGAGACGAAATGGACATTTGGAAGTGGTAGCTAAGCTGTTGCAGCAAAACAACGGAATTTTTCTCTCAGTACTTGCATTGACATCTAGTTCTTGGCAACCAAAATGCAAGTGAACGTTGGAGGAAGAGCGCTGCTGCTGCTGGATAGAGCAAGGTTGCTGTTTTGTATCAGATGGGGGATAAAGCACACTTTCTCTTTTTGCTCCCCTTACAGAAAATCTGATGTAGAGAGCGTTAAGACTTCTTGGTTTATGTTTTGAGCTCATTCCTGCCAACTTTGCCAGGGCCTGCAGATACGATTGGGAGCTTGACTGAGTGCTTTGAAATGTGAAGAAATAAAGGAAGCCATCTGACTTCCTTTCTAAATGACTGCATCTCAGATTTCTTCTGGCTTACAGAGGAATACCTTTGATAAACCTCAAGATGATCACGTAGTGCAGAAGGAAGGGAAACGAGCATGTGTCCTTTTCTCCCTGAAGCTCGTGTTCTGAATTATACACTGTCACATGGACGTCTTGTTCTACAGTAGGAGTGGTTCTTGCAACAATATCTTGCCTTAGACTGTCAAATATATTTATTTATATCCTAATCTAGAAATAGGTCAGGAGAAGGCAGAGAAGAGTTGTAGCAATGGGCTAGAGTGCCATAAAAATTGAGACAGGGCATTGTGTCCTCCTGAAATGCTGATCTGCTCTTTAGTTGTCATGAAGTTCTTTTTTTTAATTTTTGAGGTCCTTCACTACTTTAGCAAAAGTTTTCTCATTGAAGTCCTAGACTTCTGCTCTTACAGGATTATAAGGCCAGATTCCTTTGTCTGTCCTTTAGAAAGCTCAGCTGGCACTTTGAGAGGACTACCACCAGTCTTTTTAAGTGTTGAGAACTGAGTGTGATTATAATCCAGTACACCGGTTGAGCTCTAAGTCTGTAGGTCGGTGAGATTCTTCTCTGTAAACGTCAGAACATCGATTTTTATCCTGGTTTCATAGTGTTGCTGTCACAGAGGAATCACTACACAATTGGTAAAACTGCAGACCGAAGATGATGTGCGTACCATGCTTATGAGCGACTAATTTATTGAAAACTCCAATAATAATAGAATTAAGTTGTATTTGAGTAAAAAGTAAAGTACTCTAACTGTACCATTGTCTACAGAAGTTAGAACTCTCTATTGACGAGGAATATCATTTTTATAGTAATTAAAATAATTGACTGAAATACGTAGCAGTGATCAGCAAAATAGCAAATATACATAACCATAAATATTACCTGTTGGGGGGGGGGAGGAGGAGGAGGATCTTAACCAACCACAGAAAATTGCTAACGATGAAGACGTTTAATTCTGAGATCCTCTGTAATCTTGTGGAAAGGTTTTCTCTAGGAATAATGCTGTAAATTTCTCTGCTATGCAGGTACACCCACTTCTGCTAAAAGGAGTTATTCCATCTCTTTCTGTACTCTGAGGACAAATCAATAAACTGCATTGTGGAAATGTTGATGTGTCTATTTGGTAAATCTTAGTATTCTGAATTACAGAAGCTAAAGAACCCAATGTTCAGGTTGAATTGAGTGTAACTTTCAGTACAGAAACTTGATCTCTGTGAAGCGTAATAAGCTGAGCATAGCTGTGCATAAGATACTGGAGACTTTGATACACGATAAAGTTTATCTAATTTTGCGTCGCTGACTTATTTTGAAGTTTCTTGAAGCTTTCTATGACAAAACTTAAACTAGTTTGCTTCATAGGTAAAACTGAGTAGATGCGCTTACAGACTGTAACTTATGTAAGAGGTTAGGCTTGTGGATTAGATGTTGCCAGCCGGTAAGTGTTTAATAATTAAGCCAAGTACACAATCAGTCTTTTTTGGGGAGGGGGGAAGAATTAAACTGTATGGATCTGAAATTCTAGCAGAATAGAGAAGTGCAGCTCTTCAGTAGTTACTGTTCTTGACCCCATTAAATTGTTTGCTGATTACTTGTACAGACCCTTTCTAGTATTGAGAAATTCTTCCTGTTTGGATAAACTGCACTGTGCTTCCAGTAGCTGTCATTGTGGAGGTGCCATGTGCCAGGGCAGCTGAAAAATCAAGCTTGCTCAATCAATGCCTTGCCTAAGGAGCCATTTATTGGACTTGCTAGCTGGCCTATTTCATCAGTTGTTTCTCCTGGGTAAATTGATTTGGGGCACGTTGGCAGCAGATCAGAATTTCATCTGGGCTTTTCCTTTGCCTGTTGTGATGAGAATAACGATACAGGGAGTGGGCAGCAGGCAGCAGGCGGTGGTGCTGTACTGAAGAGAGGGCACGTCATCTTGTGGGAGGCCAGCTCTCAATGGGCCCACAGTTGCATACATTCCTTGAGAAACTGTCCAGTGTTGTAAAGTGTGAGTGTGGAAGGCTAGATGGAATACTACAGCTCTTATCCAAAAAGGAAAAAGATGAGTAAAAACCTTAATTTGGCAGTTGTGTTTTCCTTTTATGATTGCAGTGACACTTGAAGCTGATGTGCTATGACTGCCCTAAGCAGAGTGTTTATAGGCTGTTCTGTTCTATTTAAAGGGTGGTCTGTTGTATAGACAGGAATACGACAGCTTTGTTTTTTGAAATGGCTTTCTATCTGCAAACTGCTCCTTTCTCTGTCGCTCCAGCGTCATATGACAAATAATGAATTGTGTGTGCAAATATCCTTCAGGTACTTCCAGACAACTTTAGTTGTGCTTTTGGTCACCTGGAACTTGCATTCTAGATGCTTGTAAAATCCGTTCTTCCAGACTTTTATCTTCAGTCCTGTTTCTCCGTGGAGAGTCAGTACATTTCCAAGATTTTGCTTACAACACCTTTACTGCAGGATATCTAGTGCTTTTGAGTTCGTGTGCTGAGTATATTTGGAGGAGTCATCCTGTTCCCCTGCCCCAGTGCTGCTCTTTCTCGATCCATTAATGATTTCTGTCCTGTTCGTTCTAAGCTCTCTGATTCTAAACAGAGAATCAAAAGGTTAAACCATTATCTTCTCCGGCAAGGTTTTGCAAGTGCTTTTTCATCTTAAAATCCTAAGTCTGCATCAATTTAGTGAACTGCTTTCAGCTGCCGTTTCGCCTTGCTTCTGGTCATGACACTTCCCCCTTTGGTCTCGACAGATGTTTGTTTTCCTGAAACCTGAGGACAGTGGATGCACTAACAGTACCAGCGTGGAGGATAATAGAAGACAAAGTTTAGCAAACTAAAAAACATCTGGCATTTGCTCCAAGTTGAGAGCGTATTAGAACTGAGCCTTCTTTGTAGTATACAGCCTAGAGTAGTCAACTGCTGCTGGTGTGAGCAACCTGGCTCCAGACTCCCTTTAAGTCCTTTTAGACTGAAATCTGCTAGCAACCTACCTATGACCAAATTGCAGTGCCTCCCCTTGCCCTCTCTGTGCACCGCACGGGGATGCAGTTAGCGCGTTCCTAGGAACACAGTTGTGTGTAATTTCTTGGCGCGTGCCTCAAGAATGTTACGCTGATGTTGTAATTCTCTGAAAATATTTCCTGATCTCTCTGAAGAAAGAGGAGATGGGCATTAAACCTCAGTTTTTCCTCTCCATGAGCATAGTTCAAAGGCCTGGACTAAAACCTGTGGGGCAAAGTTCAAGCAAAGCCCTTGTTTACGTGTCCTGTGTGCTTCTTGGGCATGGGCTGTGACAAGGCAGTGGGATGTTAATGATCTAGGTTTCGAATTTCCTGTGCCGCTTTGGAAATCCCAGTTTAGTTAGATAGTGTTGCATGTGCAACGCCAAGGGGGGTATGTGGCTGAATCTGGCATGGTGAAGCGCTTCCCTGTGGCGCACCTAGAAAATAGACATCCTTTTGTGATCAGAAACACATTATGACTGGAGGCTTGCTGGAAAGCTTGCAGGGGTTTGCGAGAGTGGTGGAATATGGCTTTTGTCTTTTTCTGTTTCCTCCTTTTTTTAACTCTTGGCAGGAAAACAGTGATTAACACAGCTGAATGTTAAATGCAGCATTTTCTGTTGGCTCTGATTTTTTTTTTTTTCTTCTTTTCCCAGTATTCAGTTTCCAAACTTACTGCAGACGGAGCGCTCCAGTCTCGGTCAGTTTAGAATCCCTGTTAGTAGGAAGAGAGAAAGGAAAAATGTTCAGATGTGATGATCTGCAGGACTGTTCTTCTAGGTAGAATACTTGAAGATAAAACAGCCTAAAACAGGGATAATTAACTTCCTGGTTTAAAATAGTTTTTTGTTTTGTTATGCCTGTTTTTTGTTGACTAAGAATCTGGAAGCATGAACTCTGAGTAAATTCTTCATAAACTTATACACTGAAGAAGAAATAGCTTGAAAGCTCTCTTACCTTCTGTCTAAAATACACAGTGCTTCAGGAAATTGCTCAAATGTATCGTCTTAGTTCTGGTACAGCTGTGCTTCTTCCTTACTAGGGTGACTTCAAATGAGTGTGATTATTTTTTCTCTCTCTGATTGTTGTTGCAATGTCTACAGCACAATGTTCTCTATAAACCAATTCAAGATATGTATGATATCTTTAGTTTCAGTGTTATTTAGGAAATGATATCTAATAACTTCATTTGAAAAAGCAACTTTAAAAAAGGGTGCACAACTTTTCGAGTAGTTGTAGGTTGAGTAAACTGGCATGGTTTGTAGGAAGCAGCAAAGGGATAAGCATCGCAGAACTGTGCGATGGTGTTAAAATAAGCCAGACGTTGAGTTTAGGAAGGTTACAGCTATTCATTAATTGGAATATTCCGAAACGATACTCCTCCTGTAACATTTTCTTCCTTCCTCCGTTATGGTTTCTCGGGGAAGTAAATCCTGAAAGTACTGCAGTTACTAGAGGAATTGACTTTATACGTAAATATTAAACTTTGTGCCTTGTGCCTTATTCGTCCGACCTGCAATTTTCAGAACATCTTCAACAAAACAAAATGACTTGCTAAGCGTGCTGATAGTGCTACAATAGAATGTTGAGGGGTCAAGAGCTTTGCATGAGGAAGCAAGAATGGAAAAGAAAAAAGTTGGAAAACGCTCCCCCCACCAGTCTCCTGAAAGACGACTTAGGAAAGAGTTGTTTCCTACAGCAAAGTATAAGCATAGCGTGGTCTAAGCACTGTAAGTGAGCGCTATTCATCCAGAGCAATTAGTGCTTCAAAATAGTTTCACTGTAAACTAGTGTCCCAAAACATCGATTATTTGTAATTTCACTGAAATGCTTCCCCTGAGTGGGATGTTCTTATTGCAGGCAGTTGATAGATTTTTACCTTGAGGTCATGTTTTGTTTGCAGTTCTTGCTGGTGAGAGCATACAAGCATGGAAAGTATATTCAGGTCCAGAAGTAGCTAACACACTTGGCAATCTTTGTAAGATTGTATTTGTCCAGTAAACATAACGTAGTAGGATCTAGTAGATCCTTGAATGTAGGAGATGTGCTGTAACGGAAATTGTGTTAAGATTTTAGTAATGTTTTGAAATGTCTTTGTTTGCAAAGCTTTTAAAGCTACTTTTTGTGGTCAGCGTATCTGGTTCATGTTTTACTGTCTTGTAAATGCTTCACAGCTAACTTAATTTTCCTTTTTTTTCTCTGCTGTTAAATCTAGTATTTTGCATTACTCTTTACTGGGGGGGATGCGGAGGGGGATGATCAGAGCAGGATAATTGAAGCTGGGAAGGTCGCGTTGTCTGCAAAACTCTCACTTAAATTGCTTTAAAAAGAAAAATCTGATGATGCCCCCTCTCCGTTTGTGTGCTTGAAATATGGCATCCGCTAGTCTGTTGTAGCGTGACATTAAGAGGGATGAGTAGATGAGAAAAGACTGATCTCAAAATTCTTGAGATCAGTATGATGTGAAGGGAAAGATGTCTAATATTCCAGTCAAACTGGACTATTTTGACTAATCTGACTAAATTTGACTAATTCTTTCCAGTTTCTAATTATCCCTGCTATGACTGAAAGTTATTTCTAGCTTTCTTGGCTTCTGGATGAAAAATGTTTCAAGTGTAACCCTTTGCCTTTATGTGAGAGTAAAATTAGCCTTATGAGATTTGGACAGTGCTGCTTTTCAGATGGGTTTTTAAACAGGAGGGTGAAGCCTGAGCTGTGATATAGGACCTGTGCTAAAACAAAAGCAGAACACGTTCTGAGCTTTTAGCTTTTGTGCTATTTTCAGTGTATGTTCAGATGATCCAGTTGCCAGAAATAGGCACTTCATTAAAATACGAGTCAGTTGTCTCGTATAGATAGTTTAAATAAACCATATGAAGTTCATACTGCCTCTTATAAAATCATTAGTGTTTCTGTTAGTAAGTGTAACGTGGTAACAGCCTGAAGACTTGTTTCAATACCAGTTGTCTTTTCCTTGCTTTACAGGAAAATCTTCACTGACAATTCAGTTTGTGGAAGGACAGTTTGTTGACTCATATGATCCAACCATAGAAAACAGTAAGTAAAAAGTGACAAGCTGCTTTTCAAGTGACTTCTGTAAATGGCACTAACTCTTATCAGAAGTCGTTTTGAATATACATATTATTTGTGTGGGCGTTTACATATTAATGCTAAAGCTCATTAATTCAACTTTAAACTGTTAAAGTAGTCTTTTTAAACCAATGCGTACCGTGCTTACAGCTTGGAAATAGTTGTGTGCCTGTTTCTGCAAACAACTAAGCTACTTAATACAAAAGGAAAAAACAAACAAATCTGGCTAAAATGTATCTGCTTCTTGTATAGTGATGTGTACATTGCTGAACATGTGCTTCACGTAGGGTCATTTAGGGCAATTCAGATCAAGTATAACTCTGTCATACCTCTGTGAAAATGTGTTGCTATATGGAAGTAATCTAAAACCTCAGATGCCTCTCTAGATGAATACAAAACAAGCAATTCCAGGAGCAAATGACTACCTTAGAAAGTAGACAGATTGTAGTCATGATAACAAGAACTATCTTTAAATTACTCATTTCTACTTGCATGATAACAAGCCTTGGGCACAGTCAGATTGCAACAAACACTAGGTATCTCACCCTCTCAAGTGATTTTTTTTTTTCCTCCTCTTAGCAGTTGTTTTACTACTAGTGTCTTTGTGAATAGCTAGCATAGTGGATAAGTAAAGATACTAATACTAAAAATACCGTTAAGAGCAGCAAGTCACTTGAGAGGCAAGTTACCTAATTGTTTGTTGCGATCCGGCCACCTCTTTATGAGCTGGCAGTGGATGTAAAGTATTTGAGCAACTTGGTGTTATCCTGGGGTAACTAGCATAGTTTTCATCATCTGGCAAGCAAAACTGTGATTTCGTGACGGTAACCCCGGAGCTTGTATTTTAGTCATTTCTGAAATGCAGTGATAGCACAGATCTTTACAACTTTGGCCTTGTGCGATAGGATGTTGAGCCTTGTGGCTTTGTCTGGAAATGTGAATGAAATACGAGGATAAAAAGGTTACTTCTTAACGTATATCCTAATAATTAGAACTCAGTGGCTATCAGGATATTTTACTCAGATTTTATTCAGTTTTATTGTCTAGAAATAAAATTTTAGTTACTCCTTTTTGAAGAAACTTTTAACTTTGCTACAGCAAGTGGGTAACTTGTCCTTTGACCCAGATGACCTGTTAGTCCTTATGTGGATGTCATTATTAAATACCACTATTAAATCCTGTTATTAAATTCCACAATGCCTTTCTACTTTGTTAGAATTATAATTGGGTTTGCTTTGAATTAAAGCTACTAACAAACTATTGGGTATTAAGTTTTTTTTTTCTTCCAGTTCAGTAGCTTTTAGTTCAGTAGCTTTTCTGAACGACTGTATGAAGAGATAGTAACTTTAAACATCAAACAGGTTTAATCTCCACCTGGATTTAGTTAGAATCTCTAAGGTATCTGCTGTGCTTGATGATATACGTGTATATATGCATATAAAGCATTCGACTCTGGAGGAATTCTGGGTTTGTTTGATTCTTACAATCTGTCCTGGTCACCTGATCTGAATTCTGAACATTAGGTATGTCAAGGCTTTAAAATTTTTCTGGGGGTGGAGTGTCTTGAATAAGCTTGTCTTTTTCAATTATTTTTTAATTGTTCAGAAAACAAACGGCATTATTCATTTGGTGAAAGTCTTGTGATTTATGACATGGCTGGAGGAATCTGCTTTAGAATTGGAGGGCGTTTCTTGCATCAGAACTTGTTGCTGGGGAGTAGGGGATGAAAATGGAAAAAATTTGCCTTGAAGTTCGAAACAGTAAGGAAGTCTGTCTTTTCTCTAAGCAGTGGAAGGCCTGATAGGGAGAATATTTTAAAAATATTTCTATGAAGAACAAAGGAAATAACACTTTCAAATTTGCCATTGAAATATAAAATATATTGAAGGTGGGTTTTGTTTTTGTTTTTTGTTCCTTTCTTTTTTTTTAAGAAAGGCATGTGAAATTGCAGCTTTGATTGGATTACAATAGAAACGTTCTTTTGATTCAAATTTTTAATCTTTCTGAAATGCCTTTTTTAGATATATTTGATCAATCAAATTTTCTGACTCTTTCAGCTCTGTGCTCCTGATTCTGTGCAGGGTCGTAAGACACTGGAAGTGTTTTGTCAATTCTTTTTTTTGTTTTCCTAGCTTGTATTTTTGAATCTGTAGTTGAAAGTGCTAGTAAGAGATCTTGAGAATTCCAGCTCTTGTGCTAGGAGTGGAGCTGGAGGATATTGCGGTTTTTTCCAGTGTTTCATAGCAGTCTACAAGATCTCCAGAACTTTCATCTAGTGGTAGTGTCTCCTATGGTGTCACAAAACTTAAAATGAAAAAATAATAAAGAGCTGTCTGCTCTGTGTTGTCTATTCTGTCTCTAGAAGATTGTTACTGATAAGCGGTATAATCAGTGCTGTTAAAATACTGTAGGACACTGTAGTATGGGAATAGTTAGTATTCACTAGTACCAAGTGATGCACCAGAGTTGATATTTTTATTGGTAGTAGCCCGGTCTTTATAACTTGTGTGCTTAAATCGTAAGGCTTGTAGCAAATGTTGGAGTCTAAAGTTAAATTACATAAAAAGTAAGCTGTAGTTGAGCTCTTACTGGATGAAGATGCCTAGTGCATGAGCCTTCAGCTGTAAGAACATGACCTAGTAATCTAGTATTTTTACTTTCCAGTGCAAGAATCTTTTCCTTCTTTGGTGGGAATGGTGCAGGGAAAATAAGCTGCATCGAGTTTCATTTCAGTGTTCATTAAAGTCAGCACAGTTTCACTCTTGTGTTTTCCTTTGCCTGTGTTGCGTTAGATCCGGGAAAGTTAGTTTACCTAAGTTGAAGAGCAACGTTGAATTCAGCTGCTTTTAGCAAACTTGTGTATCAGGAAGAATAACTTCTAGGATTTTGTGGTAGCAGTGGAAGTGAGAGTTAATTACGTAGCAAAATAAAATTTCCTTTTCAAGGTCCCAACAGGAGTAACACTACAGTGGGTAGCTATTCTTAAGGCAACCAGCTTGAAGAAATAGTAGAGCAATTCCTTGCAGAAGTGTTGGAAAGAGAAGCAGGAACACAACAGAGCAGGAGCGTGTGGAGGGAGTCTGTTTGGACACTGAGCTGGACAGAGCTTTTGAGGCAGATTAGCTCAGGCGTTTGCTTGTAGTGTGCTCCCACAAAGACTGAAAGGATTTAAAACTCTTGAATTTTAACGGAATGAAAACTAGAAACTTAATTTGGAACTCAAAGCAGATAAATAGGCCGGAAGGAGTAGAAAATGAAAATGTGTACACAAGTCTCACTGTGCCCCCATCTTTGCAGGGTTGTCTGTTTATCACCGAATAAGTAACTTTACGCTGCAGCAGACTTGATTTGATCTCTGTAGTCTCAAAAAAGCTCTTGTTCCGGCTCCTTTGAGGCCTAGCTAGCTACTTTTTGCTTTTCGGAGCAGTCAGAGAGGTTCCTAGCAGTGTGCTGTGACGCCTTCTCAAGGGGTGGAAATGAAGCTTCTGAGAAAACTTGAGCGTAACTCTCTTGCATTACGCATCTCAAAGGTTATAAAAGATGTCCTGACAGATGAGCAACAGGTATTGACTTTGCAATGAAGATAAGATAGGCTTTAATGGAGGGCTGCAGGAAGTAGCTAAGGAACTCTTACGAGGTGACTATTTAGGAATCTGTTAGTAGTTCTGTGAGAATAATTTTTTGCCACTTTCATACCTTTACTCGGTAGTGCTCGTGATCTCAAAGCCTATATCTGTATGCCTGGCACCGATTTCTTATCGTAACGGTTTGTTCTTAGAGCAGCCATCCTTTGAGTTGTGTATGAAAACCATTTCACTCATGTTAGTCTAATTGAAATATACTTATCTCAGGGTAATGATGATCAGCAGCTGATGGAGTTGCAGTGTAAGTTACACTTCCACCGTCTTACCAGAGATGCAGCACCATTCAGGGCTGCACTCTGCTTCTAATTTTACCAGCAGTTTATCTGACAGCAAAGTGGCTTTAGTTTCTTTGCAGCTCTGCTTTTTGCTGTTACCCCCTTAACTGTATGAATACATCTGCTTGGTGTTGTGCTGTTAACTGTAGCTACCAAATTCTTTGAGTTTCAGCAATGCATCAGAACCGTAAACAGTTGTAGTCACGTACCTGAGGGGTAGAAGGCAGCAGGGCAGGAACAGAAAAAAATGGGTGAAGGTGGGAACTGCAGCTTTCTTCCTGTAACTGCACTTGAATCATCTGTTGCAATCTGTAAGCATGTCCTATTCTGAGATGTGTGCTTCAGCTGAGCTAAAACAGGCTTTACCCATGCTTCAGCTGACAAGCAAAGTTTTGCAGATGGTCACATTGTGACTGTGACTGCAGAGATTGTTCTGGTCTGCTGAAATCTGTTCTTACCATCCCAGGAAGAGCTGTAGTGTGCCATAGCTTTTTACTGATCATATTATTGGTAGCGTGTGTCTCGCTGATAGGCACAGCGGAGAACGACGTGTCCCAGAATGATAGTTAATTGAGTGGGAAGGGAAGACTTCCTCAGGGTCGAGGAGAGAAACTTGTAGACTGAGTAGTTGGGGTAAATTGATCGGTTTACTAATTACACTTTTAATATGGCTTTCCTGAGATTGATTTCTTACCAGGAGTATTTTTAACAAGCTTCAGCAAAGAAATGGGAGTTGTTAATTATGACTCCATCAAAACAGATTTATGTTCAGGAAGTGGGCTGTTCTTACTGCTGAAAGCCTCTGCACTAGCAGTTCCTGTTACCCAGTCTGTGGTAATTCCTCCGCTGTTTTCCTTACCCTAGCTCTGTCACAGTTAGGTTTGTTTTGATTTTTTGATTTGGGTTTTTTTTTGGTACTGGTGGTGATGTGATGCCTTTGCTTAGTTTATTCTAGGCTTCTAGAATGGCCTGAAAAAGCTGCCATCTGTCTCTGTCCCTTCTTAAATATTAGCTTCGTAAGCTTCTTGAAACTACTTTGCAGAGTGCTTTGATATGCACGTAGAGTGTCAAGAGACCAGAAACTTACTTTTCATATACCTGTTAACGTATTGTATCTGTCCAGATGAGTCTATTTTCCCTCTTATTTGAAGCAGTGATTTTTGTGTACAGCAATCCTGTGTGTTAACGCGTTCAGAGAAAGAGTTGCTTCTGTTCCCACCACAGTATTCATATAATGCAGAAAGGTGCTTTTGTGGACTCTTGCTTCATAACCCTAAAATTGTGTGCGTTGATGACAGCAGTGGCCTGGCAGTGACTTGATGGTGACTTGTCTGCTCTGCTTGTGCATGAGCTATAGCTGACCTGTCTCTTCGGGGATGGACAGGGCATGGTAGGAATCCCCTTGTTGAGGCTTCATTCGAGTCGCACATACCAGTAATGTAATGGAAACTGTATGTGTGCTTTAGGCTGTTTATTTAGACATTCTGCATTAGTTTTAGCTTTGCACAATCTATTGAGTTACCCCTTTTAAAGGCGTAAGTTTTAAAAAATCCCTTTGATTTACTTGGCACACTGAAAACTGGCAGCCTCAGATATTCCAGGGTGGAGTCAGCCCACTTATTCAAGATAATATTCACATTGTGAAGACTTGACAGGGCAACAAGCATTGCTAGTGGGGAGGAGGAGGGTTGGCTAGCTTCAGTTTATAGGGGACAGTGTAAAAAAAAAAAAAAAAAAACCGCCAAAGGAGTAGGCATGAGAGTGAATAGTTGGACAGAGAACATTCAACTTTACAGCTTCTGGGAAGCTGTTAGACAGTTTAGGGTGTGCTAAGTATGTCATTTCGGTGTTGGATGACAGTGAGGATGACATGAAACCTTATTCAGTGTATCAGTAACGTTCAGTAATTGTGCTTTAGGTGAGTGCAATACTAAGGCCGAAATGAAGCGTTGCATCCGGGTTTGTGTGTTCCGGTTGGCTCGCGTAATGCTCTGTAGTACGTTATACTTAGGAGTTGTAACGTTGTTGGCTTTGGTAGCTGCATGATACAAACACTGAGTAAAGCTTCTCAGCTCACAGCGTGCATTGGCATTTCATAAAACCTAGGACGAGAAGCAGTTTTCATCTCTTTTTGGAACTGAATGTACTTCCTGACTGAGGAGTAAGTAGGCTGGTAGCTACAGCAAATGTAAAAGTAACGTGGTGAGCCTCTAGCTGAATTTTGATTATTTAGGCTTAGCCTAGTGGAAGTTAGGCTATGGGTATCTTGCCCCAAAGAATTTTTTTTTAGTCTGGATCACTTACCTCATGGTGTTTCAGTTTAGGGAACTGATCTTGCTGAACCACTTGGAAACTGGGGGGAATATCCTATGTTAAGTTTAAAGTTAGCTTTGATACTAATGGTATTCAAGTGTCTTGTGTTACCACAAAATACAGTTGCCTGGAAGTCTCTCTGAAATATGTGTGAAAATCTTTTTTTATTCTTTCCTTTGGAGTTGCTTAAAATTCAAAAACTGCTGCACCCAGCGTGGGAATCTTCTGGAATTTGAAATTGTAAAGTAAATTTCTTAGTTTCAATTGTCCTATATACTGAAATACATATACTGTCCTAAATACTGAAAGCACAGCCACCTGGTTTAGCCTCTTAGTGTTTAAAGCATACAACTAACGTTCTCTCTCTCAACGTTTAAACTCTCATTGGTACAGATTAGTGATTACTGATCTGTTCCTTGCTTATTATTCTGAAATGTGTATGTATTTTTTGTTCTAGCTTTTACAAAACTGATCACAGTAAATGGCCAAGAATATCATCTTCAGCTGGTTGACACTGCTGGCCAAGTAAGTAGTCTTTCTTTGAGTCTTTCTTCAGAATTAAGACTACAGGTAGTTATACTCTGGTAGAACTAAATTGGTAGTGACCATGCATTCAAACGTGAAGTTTAGTGGAAGTGATAGTGCCTCATTGTTTAGTCACCAAGGAGCAATGTTTCTGTAGTGTTTATTTGAAGGTTACTTTTTTCCCCTCCTGTCTATTGCAGTCTGAACAGTAGGTAGTGTTTAAAGTAGATAATGCTTAAAAAAGTGAAGAAGAAACTGTCTTGTCTTGAACGTATCAAAAGTTTGTGCTTGTAAGTACAAGGCTTGTAAGCCTTGATATTTATGGGCTAAACTGACTGTCCTGCTTTAGCTGGGGAACGTCAGTTCAATAAACGGGCCAGAAGCTGTTCATGACTCTGTTCTTTTTGTATGCTCTGCCTACACCATGGGGATTTTGTATCCATGAAATGTGCCTGAGAAGTAGATGGAGATGCATATGTAGGCAGTATTTTACCAGGCTACCAATAAGCCGACACGGTTTGCTTCGATTTTTAGTTAAGTGATGGTTCGTGCGTGCTTCTGAGCTGTAACGAACAGGAATGCAGGACAGGGCTCTAAGCAAGTGTCCTATAGCATGGTCAGCAGGCTTCACGAAATGCAAGCATTCGTTATACAGTGCTGCTTCTCAGAACTTGTAGGCGAGCACGCAGTCCAGGCACAAAAATGCTGTGTCTTTTGAAAGACTTTAATAAAGGAGAGGCACTGTTAAATGCCTGTAATTTTATCCTGAATTTACTGTTGCTTACATGATCTTATCTATTGCGAGTTCTGATATGATGCCTGTGTTTTTTGTTTTTTTTTTTCAGAACTGAATAGCGTTAAATAATCATAGCATTGACAAATATGTTGCTAGCACTTAAGACTTTAAAGCTGTAGGAGGACACTTGTTCATAGCTGAGGGAGTATTCAGAAGGGTTGTAACCTTCTAGGCATGGTCGATCACTTTCTGTGGAGAGAACTGTATGACTGAAGAATAACCGGGCTTTATTTGTGTTGTAAGCTTGTGCTGACCAGTAATGTTGTATGCTTTTAGAATCTGTCAGATAACTCTGAAGTGATTAGAAACACGGATATTGAGCATGCCTAGCGGGGCAGGTGTTGGATGAGAGGGGGTATTCCGCAGAGAAGAGCGAGGCTGAGAGATGGACGCAATGTGTTGGGATAGTTATCCCTGAAGTGCGAGTAGCAGAGAGCATACTTGATGGGTTTTACATTGTGCCGAAAGCGTGCTTTTCTTGCCTCTCAAATTGTGCACAATTTGTAAATGTAAAGTTTCTCTGTGAGAAAGAAAAGGCATTCTAAGAAGGCAGTGCAGCCGCACAAGTTACATACTTCTTTGCACAGGTTTATTTTCGAGGTTGATTTAATGTTGTACAGTATTATAAAACTCTAAAGTAATTTTTTTCCAATCTGTGGTTATTTCCAGATTTGATTCTTCCTATGAAGGACTTGAACTTTGAGTTCTGGCTCATAGGGTTAGAGGGGAGAGAAGATGCTGGGTTATGGAAAGCATGGTTTGAACAGATGTCTTTCCCAATTGTCTCTTGCTTAATGATCCATAGGAGTTCTCATGCACGTATATAGCATAGCAAAGATTATATTGTAGATGTATGTGATTTGCTTAGTTACAGCCACATTGGGTTATCGCTTACCACAGTCCTTAATTTGAGCCCCAACTTCCAGTAAGCATACCGGTGAGGATGTGACTGGGTTTTTATTTGTGTATTTTAACTTCAAACGAGCCAAAAATTTTAAGTCATGGACTAGAAACAATTGAACTTACAGCACTTCTCTTTTTGGTTCTCCTTTTCTGTCCCATACCTCTTTACCTTTTGCTACTGTCTGCTCAGACTTGCGTAGTTCAGTAAAACAGGAGTGCTGGTATGGGATCGCCGAAGAGAAGCAGCTTATCTAAAACTTTATTCCAGCTGTGGCAATCCTGAGGAATTCCAGATAAAGTCAAATAAGTGGAGTTGCACTTTCACCTGTTTTACATGCAGACTAGCTCAGGTCCCTTCTTTATTGACTTTTGGATTACACAGCCAGCTGAAGTAGCAGTTTGGCGTTTGAGCAAAGAAGGGGGCGGGTTGCATTCAGCGTGTAGCTATAAAGGCAAATAAGGGCATCTTTTGTCAAGTGTTATTCTAGGACCTTTTTTGGCTGAATCTGTGAAGTTGATTTAAAAGGATTTTTTTCCCCCAATTTGCCTGTTACAGAAATTCAATTTCTTTTAGCTGTCTAGATTTAAGCTGAATTGCACTGCTCCATCTGTTCATCATGACAGTATATGTAGAGGTTATGTGATTTTTTTTAAGCTAAAATTAACATCTTAAGAAACATAGGTTGAAAAAAGTTGAGAACTCGTACATTAAGGTGTATGGTTCTTGTCAAAATGTGAATGTTCCCAGGGAACATCTATTGAAACATTTAATTTGGATTTTTAACATGGGATTTATAGTATTGGTGTTGCATTTTGTGCAGCATTCCAATCTTCTTTCAAAACTACTGGTTCATTAATCTGTTAGGTCAGTTTGTTTTCTATATGAGAAAATAAATTCAGTGACTGTTTAATTTTTTTGAATGAATGAAACACTTGCCATATAATGAAAACCTCTCCTAAAGCACCTAATAAATAATTCTTCCATTTACAGTTGATAAGCCTTAGCTAGTTGATAAACTCCAGTAACTCAGTTCCTTGCAGATCTCTTAAATAATTTCGGTGTGATCAGTGCCACTTAAAATATCGAGCTGCTAGATCCTGTCTTCAGCGGTTGAAATTTGGGATTTGATTGAAATGTATCACTAGCAGGAGGCATAATTGCTAATTAGTGATAGTACTGAGTGGATGTTTTGTAGTAACATAAACTGATAATTAAGCAGAGTAAGAGGATTAGGAGCAGCTTTAGCTGATCCATAGTCTTAGAGGGAATAAACCAGAGAGGCTGTGGATTTTTGCTATACAAACTATACAGATCTGCTAGTATCAAGTTCTGAAGTGTGGCAGTAAGCAATTTTAAATGCAATATTCCTTCCACAGGATGAATACTCCATATTTCCTCAGACATACTCCATAGACATCAACGGCTACATTCTTGTTTATTCAGTCACGTCAATAAAAAGGTAATAAAATCTGTTGCGTTCTCATGGTTCAGGTAGCAACCATATGCATCCTGGGCTCAGCTCCTGGCTCTGCTGTATTTTCTTTACACGTGTATAATTAATTTACTCTCTTTATAAGTAAAATGGAAATAAAAATAAATGGCTTTCCAGAAACTTCCCCTCAGATCCAAATGTCACAGGCACTTTGCTGATTAATACAAAAGATACTGTGTGAGAAATGAGGCGACGTTGAACTGTGCTGATGAGGTGTAAGTATGTAGATTGATTTCAGAAATAAGTGGAGTTCATTGCTCTAGTGTCAGATAGAAACGTGGATTTAAACGTGAACTGAAAGGGCACCATACGCTTTTGTGAATTACTCAATCACCTCTTAGCTCAGTCCCTCAGCCTTGTAGCTTGTTATAGTACTGATATTTCTTTGACTTCCTGTCTTAACTTGTTCTTGTTAATCGTCAAAAACTTCTATACAGATAGCAATAGATGACTTCTGGCCTGTGAACTGACTCTTGGCGTGTTCAAGCGAGTATCTTTTTGACAGGTTTCCCAGAGTAGCTGTTCTGTCCTCACAGCTGGCTACAGTCTTTTCTGATGTGAGGACAGATTCCATCATAACTGGAATCCATCATTTGCTTGTAAGAAGTATTTCATCCTTCTCACGAGGTTTTGTCATCTTCCCTTATTTTGTCTCCTCCCTCTCTTTTTCTTGCTTTGTTTAAATGCTGGTCTGAATAGGTCTTTGTTTTTTGGAGTTGTACAACAGCTTCATTATGACAGCTAAAATAAGGAAGGGTAAGGGGCGCTTCTTCGTACATAACTCCTGGTAAAATGGAAACTTGCAAGCTTTTATAAATTGCATGCCTTTTCCTCTGAACTAGACAAAACTGGGCATCTCAAGTGCTTTTATGGTAGACTATCATAAAACAAGTAGAGCAACTTGATTTTTTTCCTTACTTATTGACTGTTCTGTGCTTCTCAAAAACGTCCATTGCTTCCAAGCCTTCAGTGTTGAACAGATGTTAAAGATGAGAACTAAGAATGGAAGAGTCCTGGTTCCAAAGTAATAAAGGGAAACTCCATGGTTTGGAGGAAAAATGCAACAGCTGTCACGCTTTAATATAATCTAGAGACGCTAAACTGCCTAACTTTTTTTATTTTTATTTTTATTTTTTTTTTAAGTCAGAGATTCATTGTTGGTGCTGAGTAACTTTGTGTGAAATAAGAGTTAGTATTCTTAGCTTTAAGCGGGGATTCGTCCACTTATCAAACAAAGTTTTCTCTTTACTATACGTGTGGCACTGCTTCAAAAGCGTCTTTGACCAATTTTTATACACGTTGCTTGGAGGCTTCTGCAGCTTGTGCTGCTCCCTGATGAGCAGCTAAAGGACATGCTCTTTGATAGTTACTGCAGGATGGTGTCTTGCACTTAATGGCCCCTTGAAAAATAAAATAGATAGATAAATAAAAATTTGTTTTCTGTGGTAGCATTCCAACAGTTAAATAGAAACCAATTATGGTGAAAATATTGACAGAATAAGATACGTTAAGACCGCAGGTAGATACTATATTCATCAGTATTTTAGTCTTAACTTATTGCACGGTTTTCTTTCTTCCTTTAAGCTTCAAAGCATCGGTGATTTTGTCTTGTGCATATGTTATCTTGTGTTCCGTACCGAGACGGTATTTAGGCAGTAGAACAGATCTTCCGCAGTGCTTCAACTCAGATGACTCGCCTAGGCAGTCAGATTGCATTCACTGTCTTGGTTTCTGTCACTTGGGTTGAAGTGTACATCTTGCTCTGAGTATTGATCCAGCAGGTTGACAGCAAACAATACAAATGCTCTGTTTCAAAAAAAAAAAAAAATGCACACACATGTGATACATAATATTATATGCTAAACTCCAGTGGGAAGTTTAAATGGGGCTTGAGCTAATGCCCTGCTTTTTTAATATTCCCAGACTCTCGGCAGCAAGGTTACTGACAGACTTTTGCTCTAGTTTAGTTCGGTTAAATTCCAGTTTTGTATCTTGCTAAGTTCCATGATTTTGTATAACACGTTGGTCTGACAGTTGGTAAACTTCTGGTTCTTTTCACACACTGAAATGTTTGCTGTAACACTGTTTGCTTGACTGAGCTGGAAAGGACCTCTTCTGATCTTCAGATCTCTTGCTGTTCCAGGAGTTTGTTACGCTCCTATGGGTTGGTCACTGTCTGTTTTAAACTCGGCCCTTGCATGCTCTTCTACCCTTACTACTTTGGAAAGCTTTCTAAATCCTTACATTGGTCTAGTCAAGCTAGTTTCATTCCTGGCTGCTCTTAGCAACTAGTTTCTGTGTCGGTATTGAGTTTAAATAGTGCTTCTCTTTTGATGTCCACCTTGATCTGTTAATAAAGATCAGCTGTTTCTCCTTAGTCTTTTTTAGCTAAAAACTGAGCTGTTGAACTATAGTAGATAAGCAGATAGACAGAATTGGGAGATGAAGAGAATTAGGAACATGAAGAGTCATATTTCTGTAGAACGTTTAGCAGAACTGTACACTGGAACCCCAGATGAGGGCTCACTGGTGTCCTTTGCAAGGGCATGGCGTTTTCCTAGCTCTACTGAAAACGATACCCCTAATAGTAAAAAGGAAGCAGGGTATTATATTATATTAGCAATTCGGTTATCCTGTGGCTAGTACCCTAGATCTTCCCTGTTGCTTCAGAATAAGGAACATCTTTGCGGTCTGTAGAAGACTTTTTTATTTCTTTCTCCTATTTCAGTTTTCAGGGTCATCTAGTTCTACGTGCAGTGATGCTTCTGAATTTTTGTCACTAGCAACCTCCCATTAACTCAAATTTTTCGAAATAAGAACATGAAAATTGGTTCTAACACCAGTTCTCAAGGCCAGGATTTCACTAATAACTTTCCAGCATAAGCTGTTTGTAACTTGAAAGTCCTTTCGTGGATTCCTACATTTTTCTATTTAATATATAGCCTCATACTTGATTTATTAATAGTAAGTTGTGCCAGACCGAGTCACTCTTTTCTTTGCAAAGAGACTTTTGCGGACTAAGAGCTGAACGTGAAGTAGCGTTATATTCTAACCTACCCCATTCACTTAAATATGCTCTCTCTAAAATTACTGCTGAAGTTGGACAAACGGACCTAGTTGACGCACAATCCTTTTTAAATACAGGAACCTTTCTTGTTATGGAGGTGAGAGTTCTTAACGATTTAGATGGCTTGAATAGCATTTGTAGGCACTGGTTCTTTCAGAACTGTGGGTTGGTTGGTTGGAAGTATGTTTGAATGCTGCTCTGTTTTTAAGTGTCTGAATTGTAATGAAAATGCAGTGCAAGTCAAGATACTGCCTGTGGCTAACAGCCTTGGAAGCTGGAAAACTTTCAGACGCTTTTTTATTGTAGTATATTTGCGTGTCTGCTCGGTGAACTTGTGCTTCTCTTTCTGAAGAAATCTGAGCTGTGCACTTCATGTATCAGTATTTTCTTCCATAATGCAATTAGAGAAGCACAGCATCCACTCTTTAACCCTGTTTATAACTCATTCTGAAAAGTGCTAAATGTCAAATGCAGTGGATTTTGTTAGCGAGGCTTTAGGCGTCTTGGCATTTCATAGCACTGCTGCTTATTTCCAGTCATTCAAACTTCATGTGCATTATAGGCGAACAGAGAAAAAGTACTTGAATAACCACTGTTTCAGTACCATCTTGCAGATCAGCGTGCTCAGTTTCCTTAGAGAATTAGAACTCGGGCGTCTATTGCCTTTCACGTACGCGAAACCATAGAATTCTGTATAAACAGAGTCTTCTGAAAAAGTGATGTAGTCCTTCAAGACAGAGTGCGCTTAACTGGCTACTTTTTTGGAACTGTGCTTTAATTTGACACGCTCATCCGGGCTTGTTGGAATGTAGTAGTTAAATCTCTTACTGCAGTTACAGACCGTATTGGGGAGGGGGATACTTTCTTAGTGCTTGTATGTTAGATGCATCAGTCCTAAGTAATATGTTACTTATTTGTGCAAGTATTGTAATTGGGGAGACTGTAATGATAGGCAGTAGACTAGCCTTTGTCATTTCTGGGACCATTTTGTCTGTTTTACACAAATCAGTAACGCTTTCAGCATCTCTGCAGTTCTGCCACGATACATAGAATAAGTTTTAAACACAGCAGTCTACATATGCAATTAATTGCTTGTGTATTGGGTATTAAGGATAAACATTGGAGTGCATGTGTGACTTCATCCCTTTATTTTGCAGTTTTGAAGTGATAAAAGTTATCCATGGCAAGTTATTGGATATGGTGGGAAAAGTCCAGTAAGTAGTGACACTTTCATCTCATTTCATTGCAGGCATGTTACTAGTACTTTGTTCAGTATACTATAACTATTCTGAAGTTCTGAACTTTCTTTCACAGAATACCCATTATGCTGGTTGGAAATAAAAAAGACCTGCATATGGAACGGTATGTGAACTCCAGTATATGTGAAACGCAAGACAGCAGCAAGCATTCCTGTGGCTGCAGTACACTAGTTTTGTTCTTGGCTTTCTGTGACTAAAATAAAAATCGAAGGTTAAAATAAGGTGCTGGCAAAGGAATTGTGTCTAGAATGTGAACTAGGAGCCGTGAACTTTTGTTCTAATATTGATTGGTGCTATGAGGTTCCAAGGACCGTGGTTTAACACTTTGGTTTTTTTCAAAACAGCTAACAGAAGTGTATTTTTCACAACTGTAAAACACTAGAAGATATTACAGACTGTAAAAATGAAACTCTTTTGGGACAACTGCTCTTCTGGGTCACAACAAAGTTTTACCTGGCCCAGTAGTGCATTTAATGGTAGCCAGTAGCAGATGCTCAGGATCACAGACTTCACAAAACATTCCTGTTGTATGTATTTATATGCTTTGGTACTCTGAGGACTTTCCTGAAGTATCAAATTCCATTTCTTCTGCAAGTTATAAAGAAACATACCTTTTCTCTTTGGTCAGGGTGATCAGCTATGAAGAAGGGAAAGCTTTAGCAGAATCCTGGAATGCAGCTTTCTTGGAATCTTCTGCTAAGGAAAATCAGGTAACAGATTAAGATTGACTTTGTTTGAATAACAACGTAATGGAATGTCTCCGTAACGTCACTGAATAAAGAAAGCTAAAATACATGCTTGTACTCAACAGCTATTTTGTGTAGATGGCTGGAAACGGAGCGGCTATCTGCATTCAGGTTTAAGTATGCAAGTTTTCCTGTGTATCTGTAAGTGAAAGGAGAAGTGAAGAACTGAAAGCTTAGCTTCACTGAATGTAGCAGAAGAGCTGGTGGCAAACGAAAACTTGAATCTGCATTGTGGGTGGGACAGAGTCTGTGGTCCGCTACAGTTACCTTAAATAGCGAGCTTGTGGTGTTGCAGAGGAGTAGACTGGTACAAGAGGAAGAACCTTGTGTTTTTTAAGGCACTAGGCAAGACGTTGTTGCTCTTCTGTGGGGAGTAATAATTTCGTGGGCCCGTGATTAATCAAAAAAAATTACAACACAGCCGAGGTTGTTGGACACTATTGTGATACAACTGTAGTCAAGTTGACAGAAGGCCACAGTCTGACCAAATATGACCTAGGCACGTTTATACTCGTTGATTTTCTATCAGAGAAAGAAAATGCTTAATTACATGTTAAATAGCATCCTGTAACTTCAACGTACCGCCTCAATATGTTTTGGTATTTGATTGTGTTCCTGTGGCTGTTCGTAATGCTTCCTTGGTCACTGATTCGACACCCTACCTATGTAAGCTACAAAGGTGCGCTAATTTGAACTTGAAGTAATGAAGAACTGCTGTTGTGTTTTGGGGGGGGGGGAGGTTTGGATTTTTTGTGGATATTTTTGTTAGCTATTGCTAGCAACAGCTTGGCATAGTCAATACTTTGCTTTTTGAAAATGCAGACGTCTGATAGGGTCAAAAGGACACTGTCAGGCTGGTTTGAAACAAATGAGTCCATATTAGTCCTTATGCAGAAGAGATACTTATCTTGTCCTGCGTTTAACCTAGGGTATCATATCCTCAGGCTCCTGAATAATCTCAGCACAATCAAATGGGCAGTCCTAGAGCTAGGACAGAAGTTGTTTTGAACAGCCTTTCCTTTCCTCCCTCCCCATCCCCAAAAGTAAAACAAATAACTTCTGTCTGATAATTTCTAGAACTACTGACCATGAGCAGTTGTGTAAAGTTGGATTTTCCCTGGAAGAAAAACTTAATGGAAGAAACTTCTTTTTTTTTTTTTTTTTTTTTTGTCCTTTCCTCCAGATGTGGAAGATCTGGATTTAGTTTATCAGTACTTCTGTTTCAGGCTAAAACTTGCATTAACCTTGTCAAAATTGGGCATAATGGAAAGAAAACATTTCTCAACATCCTCTGTATACTACTTGAGCGGCTCAACTGCAT